ATAGCTGTTTTCAGTGATTCAGTTATTACGACATTCAGTTTTTACGACAGTATAAAAATAAAATTGAAAAAAATTATTACTCATGTTCAAACTTTTGAGTTTGCTACAAAAATTATAATTAATATTTTTTTTATTTTTATGTCATTAGTCAGTTTTAGTTATATGTCAAAATTCTCTATATTATAGAACTAAAATAATTTTGTTTAAAACCAAATTTAGTCAAAATTATTAACATTTTCATGTGTTCAAATTTCTCCGGTGTTCAGTTCTACCCCATTTTATTCTACACACACACACACACACAAAAAGTAAAACAATGTATAATACAGTTATTATATATATGAATACAATATATGTTATAGCTTATCCTCAAACTCCTTAAAAATAAAAGTACATTAAATGATTTGTCTTTATACACCAATATTAAATAAAAGCACTTGCAATGTTCAATTAAATTCAAGGGCAATATTTTTTGTATAATTGTAAAACGATATAATTTTTGATGAGGCATCTATGATAGCCAAACATAACTTAAATGCTATCAATTATTTAGAAGATGTGTACAACAACAACATTTCAGTTGCTTGGTATTTTTTGTTGGGACTTAACAAAAACAACTGGTATTAAGTAAATAATACCAGTTGTCAGAAGAGGACAACCATTCGAAATTATAGAAACAAGTATAAATTTTCTTCACAACAATGATAATTAGAAAGCTTCTCATTAACAAAAAAGAGAATTACATATATATATATATATACACACACACACAGAAATTTATTGATTTTTTATACCTTTCTGTAATAAAAAACAAATTTTATTACAAATTTGATTTTTTATTACAGAAAGGTATAAAAAATTAAATTTGTAATAAAATTTTCATTCTATTATTTAAATTGTATTTTGCTTGTAAGCTTAACATGTCTTATCATTTTCAAAATTATTCAAGTGTTTAAAAAAAAAAATTGAAGTATCGAATAAAATGCGCAAATATATTCGAATATAAAGAATTTGAATATTCAAAAAGAATTCTTTATATGAAAGTTTTTTTTCTTTAAAAAAACATACGGATATTTTTAGTGTATGTTTCGGTTAAAAAAAAACATACGGATATTTTTAGTGTATGTTATTAACGTATTGGTATGTAATAAAAATAATTCACAATGCTTCTATCAAGTATTTAATTTTTTGATAATATATTTATCTTCCAGATAAAGCATGTCATCAGTTTGGAAATTTGCTGCTCAGCGTAAAAATTCCAAATTTAAGAGATGTTGAAGGCATTTGTAACAGATATGGTTCTGTTGTAACGTGCTCCGATGGATCCACAACTACTTTGCAGAATCATATTTTGCGTCATGGAGTTACTATTAATAATGCTTCAACTGGATAATCAAGGAGCAGCTCAAATCCACCACCGGAAAAAAAATTAATGTGGACAGTTATTTACAAAAAATGAGCCTTAAAGAAATTGTAGCTACAGATGGTGTTTTGATTAATACGATAACTAACAACAATTTGCATGAAAGCAAATGTATTGTAATGACCACACATGTACGATTTTTGTTTTGCTGACTTGGTCACAGCTTTTCGACAGTTGATAATTTTTGCGCATTTTCAAAATGGCGCTTTAAAACAAAAGTAAATAAATAAAAATTTGTTGCAGGCTAGCAACAAAATATATTATTATTTCATAACTGGACTCGAAAACCAGTTACTTTAGTGGAACACATGCAGCTATGAAGCCTCAGTGAAGAAAGAGCAAGGATTAGAATCAGAGTTAGTTAACAATTATTACAAAGTGTTTGGACAGATGTCCAGTATAAATGCGCAAAATTAAAGCAAAATAGTTTATATTATTTAAAAATTGTTAACGTACATTTCATCAGTGTTTAAGCAGAACCAAGGGAGCGCGTATAATTAAGCACAATGGTCCAAGTCTTCAAAAACAATAAAAGAGAGGTTATGTAACCATTATGCAAATAACAAGAGATCCATATTGAGAAAATGAAGGTAGATGGTATCAAGGTGAAAAAAATAAAATGAAGAAAAATTGTGACGGCAGCGGGATGCGAACCCCTGTCTCAGCGGCGAAATATCATGTACCTAACCGAACAAGCTAAATGATTATATAATTAGCAAATATATTAATGTTTATATACTATAAAATCAAAAAGCTATAATATATGAAATTTATAATAGAAAAACGTGTGCTATAAACCACACACTAGCCTGCAACAAAATTCCAAATTGAAAAAATTAAATTTGATCAATATTCAAGTCTATGAAGCAAAACGCTTTTGAATTTAAAAGATAAAAATTTCGTTTATAGCTTACTTTTTTACGTTTGTTTATTTTCAATAAGGTTAAGATTTATTTTCTTTTTTCAGTTTATGGTTTTTGTTTTCATTTTATTTATTTACTTTTGTTTTAAAGCGCCATTTTCATACTTTTTGTTTTTTAAAGCGCCATTTTCATTATGAAAATGTGCGAAAATTATCAACTGTCAAAAAGCCGTGGCCAAGTCAGCAAAACAAAAATTTCACACGCATGGTCATATAAAGACGTGCGATCACACAACTTCCTGTGAAAGCCTGTAGGTTCTACATAAGATGGTGCAATAATCAACAAGAAGCTCATGCAATTAACAGACATCGTTGACCAGTTTTAATTTAATCATGCAATTTATCTTGGTGTATGCAACACGTTATACAAGAAAAATGAAGACACAAGCGTATCAATTCCCAAGAAAATGGACAGTGATTCAGAAAAGGATAAAATGGAATTTACGATAATAATTTAATTTTAAATCAGTAAACAATGAGATTAATGTTGACTACCCTGAAATTTTAATGAATGTGCGAAAAGTAGTGAAATTCATAAAAATGTCATCAGTTTGTGATTAAATTTTTCAAAAAAAATTACTGAGGAATTTACTTTTTTTAATGACTGTGCCTTTGTTAAAAACTAAGAAATGTTTATTCCAGATATTTACTGAATTAAATGCTCTTGATGTAATTAACAAGATTTTGAGTCATTAGCTTCATTTCATGCCGGTTTAGAGCCCTCAAAACTAGCAGTGGAATTCCTTAGAGAGGATGCAACGTTATTGACAGCAGATACTGTTCTTGAATTCATGCTTGCAAAACTCTGTGCTATGAATACAAAAATCGCAACTTTATTGCATTCAAATTTAAAAAAGTGTTAATAAAAGAATTAACGAAAGTGTTATGCAGTTGTTAAGGTGCCTAAAAGATCCTTTAGCTGCTCCATTAAAAAATACTTTAAATTTTGCTGAAAAATTTGTGTTTAGGCTTTTTGGAATTACTTCTAATGATGAGGAACAACTACTAGCTGAAGCACCATGTACAACATTGAAAGGTCCACCTGTTTCTCTTGAGGATGAATTAAATGTACTTCTCAATAAAGATAGCATCACATACTTGCCCCAATCTAGTGATCAGTTCAAATGGCTTAAGCAAGAGTTTTTGTTATACCAAAATACAAACAAAAGAACAAAAAATCTTGAAAAAATTTACAATGTGATTCTCTCTATAAAGCCCTCATCAACAGATGTCAAATGCATTTTTCTGAGCTGTACTAGTTTCTGCACAAAAATCAGATCGCGATTATCTGATGAATCGTTAAAATCTTTAGTTTTCTAAAAAATGTTTTTACAATAAAAATAAGTCATTATAAGTCATTATAAGTCATCGAAATATAAACATAATGTTAGAAAACTTTGTTTAAATAACTTTTTTAATAAAGAATGCGAGATAAACTTACACAAGTTTTATTATTTAACAAGAAAAACCGAAAACTACAGTTAACCACAGTGTTTTTTTAAAATTAAAACCGATTTTATAAATGCAATTTTTTGGAAACTCTATGTAGCGGCACTCCTTTGCAACAGCAAGCTATAAAATAGTTGATGTATGTACTGAAGCCCCCTGCAACAGTCTGTTTCACTGTGGTGTCAGAGATGTTATCTAAACACATTCATAGTTGAATGAATTACCATATTCATTAGTTTTGTAAAATGCCAAATGTACCCCTAATGTAAAGTTAATTTTTTTTTAATCATATAGAGTACGCCTGGAAACCAGAACATTATCTCCTTTAAATCTTGTCCTGTAACTCCTAACTGAAAACTGTACAGTAACCATGCACTAATTGGTACCTTGGAGTTATTACCTTTCTTATTTTTGATATTTTTGAAACAGAAATTTAAACATTGGATTAAATCTCAAGTTGTCAATATAATTATCTAATCAAATTATTCGCTAATATTGACTCTTTATAAAATTTTCCTAAAATATGAACAAAACTATTTAATTGCTGTGTCTAGGACAGTTAATCTTCTGAACCTTGCAGAATCGAGATTTATTGAAAAGTGTTTTTTAGTTTTTTATTATAGAATATGTAAATAACATTGTACACTTCAAGTTTTCAATGTCCATAGCACCAAGTGCAGAGCTATTAACATAGCACCAAGTGTGGACCTATTGACATTAAGCATAAAAAAATATATTTATATACAATTTTTATAAAATGTTTGTATGTAAATTAGTAAAAAGCTCAAGGTATACATTGTTTCTGCATATTGTTTCTGATGGCAGCATATTAATTGTTTTTGATGCAAGCATATTAGTTGTTTGTGATGACAGTATATTAATTGTTTTTGATGCAAGCATATTAGTTGTTTCTGATGACAGTATATTAAATGTATTAATTATAAAACTTAGTATTAATTATAAAACTTAGTTCTAAAAACTTTTTTTTAGTTTATCTTTTTGTTTTTTTAAAATGACTAAGTTGAGTTTTTTTAATAATTAAATTAATTAAAAACTAAATATACATTTTTTATATAGACAATTAGCAAATTAATTATACTTTCTTATATCTATCTTATGTCTATACTTTATAATAGTTAATGGTAGTTTCAGTAGTTTATGAATTATAAATTTTATTTTATAAGCTGACTTTGTATTTCTATTTAGCTTCATTCTACCTTGCAACAATTCTTCAATTTGAAAGAATTAGCTTCATATGGTTCTTTTTTTTTTATGCAGTTAAATTACTTAATATCTTTTATAAAAAGTAAATCCTCTTATGATACGAACCAATTGCTTAATGATGTTTGGTCTGTGATTTCAAATGTAGTTATCCCTCCAAGTAAAACTTTTTTGTCAGCAAATAATCATTTTTATGAGATGCTACTACAATTTGTGGAATGCATGTGTACAGATAAAATTACAAAGAATAAAAGCAATTTAGAAGACAATCAATATTTAACTAACTTATTATGCAGTATTTATAGCTGTTTTGATTCAAGTAAAGAAGAATATAAGTATATAATTAAAATTTTATGTTACTATCATGATATAAATGTTTTAAAATTCATACTTAATACTTCTGATCTAAATTATGAATATGTGAATAATTTGGATGTTTGTTGCAAGTTTCATGCATATGTGCTAGTTCCATTGACAAAAAATGAAACCAATTTAGAAGATATTTCTCAACTTTCTATCTCCTTGCATGAGCTACTTCAACAAAGTGAGATTGTGTTGTATCTCAACTATATTTTTAAGGTAAGTGATTTAATTTTGAAGTATTGTTTTTGTTTTTATATTGGTGATGTTTTATTGTCTTCTTTTAATGATGATGATGATGATGATGATGATGATTTTGAGGATCATGATCATGATGGTGATCATGATGATCATGACAACGATCAAGATTATGATGATGATCATGGTAAGATCTTGCTTATGCAGTGAACCTTCTTCCACCCACACCACTAATACATACTTAGTTTTCAAAAAGTTAGGTGGTCAAAGTTAAAAAGTTAGGTGGTCACAAACAAAGAGCGTTTTTCTAAATGGAGCTTAGTCCATTTTTTTCCAAAATTGAGTCTTCTCAAGATAAGTGTTATTAAAAAATGGAACACATCTAACTACGTTGTGAAGAAAAAAATAGTTATGATTACAAAACTATTAAGATTTAAACAATACTACGTGATAATTAATTGTTCTTTTGTTTTTCTCAAAACATGTAAAATGTATACTATATTTATACTATGAATTATGACCAATAATATATAACATACACTCATCTTATAAGATAAGTATCGCTGTATCACAAAATGACTTTTAATTTAAACCTCTTTTTCCAAGAAAAACCTTTGGAGATATAATAGTACAAGTATGTAGGAATACATTAGAGTTGGTTTTGAAAACTTCCATCATCGTTCGTTAAAGAAAAATCAATTTGAAAATTTTGAAGATCAAAGAAACCCAATTGGTATCTGCAAAAACTGTAGAGAAGACCTTAGAAAAAGAGACAATGGTGAAGATGTTCAATTTCCTTACAACCAAAAAATAAAGATTCATCCTGCAACAAGAGAGTCACCATGTGGTTGCATAATTTGCTTTATGGGAAAAGCCAAATTTGGAAGCCCTCAACCGATTTACAACAAGCACAACCAGTCAACTGTAAGAACAACCAGTTATTGAGAAATATTGTTCAAAATGCTTTTAACTGATTGGAAGAGGGATTCCACATAATTTTACAAAAGGAATGCTTAGACAGAACTTGCTTGAAATTGCAGCAAAAGACATAAAAGCAGCAGAAAGAGTAGCTGCTTCTGTGATAGCTAACAAGGTTCCTTTTTTATTTTCTTCTTGTCATATATGCTTAATATGCTTTTGCTTAAATGACTCTTTTACAACAAGAAAACTTTATAATATGAGAAACTGTGTTAAGTTGATGTAAACTTTTTTCCTAAGGTCATCAAGACAAAGAGAACTTTTTCCAGTAAGTCTTCATTCAAATGAACTTATCAAGGTGGGAATTATGGGAGAAGGGGTTCCTGAATGTGTCTCTAGGGGTTCTTGACTTAAAACCAAATGCTTCTCCCTCAACTTAGAAACCTCTCTTCAAGGACTTAGGAGTGAAGCATCAACTTTAGGTGGTTATTGCAGAAAGCCTCTGAAAATTATGACGATGTAAAGAAGATCATGGACAAATTGAGCATTGAGAAATTGCCTTCTGTGTTGTCATGTGACACGAAGCTTGCAAACATTTTTTTGTTTTTTAGCATCTTCGTTTCCAACAAGGCTGCAAGCAACTACTAATTAGAGTTGGAAATTACTGGAAGAAAAAAGATGAAGACTTTAGAGCAGAATAACGACTGACAGACAACTTAAAAGATTGCAAATTATATGAATCAGGAAAGCAAGATGAATTCCAAACAACTGATGTTCGAGGAAAAAAGCTAGAGGAATAAGAGTTTTTGGAGCACTTATGGAAAAGAGAAAGAGAAGAAGCATTACAATGATGTGATAATGGCTGCAGGAGCAGCTCTAACTACGTTTACAATGCATTTTCGTACCTTGTCTAAAAAAGAAAGGGCATCATTAGAAGATTTGCCCTAGATATGGCAACAGTATTTCATACAAGGCCGGATTTGATATATGGTTTCCAAGAAAGATCAGAAGTAAGAGTTAATCTTAGAAGATGGGTAGATGACTCATCGAGTATATTACTGTTCATAAATATATGAAGATCATAATTAATGCAATAATGATTGGCTGAAAAAAACTGAGTTTTATTTGAATTAAGCCTCACCAGCCACTGTGAACCCCATGCTGTAGCAGTTTATTTAATGCATGATAAACCTATCAGTTATTACTGTTAGCAAATCTGCTGTAGAACGAGAAGATCGAAATCCATATTGATGATTAGTAAGTTATTACATTCAAGATTCAAGATTAAATGTTTGTTAATTAAAGATTGAAAAACCTTGCTTATGATAGGAAGAAGACTAATGGGACGATAGTTAGACAAATCAGATCTCTCTCCAGAATTTTGAAAATAGGGATAACAGGTACCGCTGGAAAACAAGATTCTGATAAGTACTTGCTGAATAGTTTTGAAAGTGTAGATGACAGCTCCGGAGAACACTTCTGCAAGGCTATAACAGGTATGTTGTCCGGGCCACAAGCTGTAGAAGAGTCTAAGCAGGAAATCACTTTAAATACAGAAGCTGGAGTGATATAAATGTCAAGCAATGGATCAAGCTGTTTGACAGCTAAATCAGGTAGAACGCAACTAGTGGAATCAAGAGATGATATTGATGAAGCGTTCTTAGCAAACAATTCAGCTTTGTCTTTAGGATGAGACAAAATTTGAACCATACAAGAGAGATGGAATGACAGATTTGTCCTTTATATTGATGCTGTTAAAGATTCTCCAAAAATTGCTAGAGCCTAGTTGTTGTGATAAAATGCGAGATTTCATGACCTGAGAGCTTTGGCATTAAACAATACCTTTTTACAATGGTTTCTAGCAGTAATAAACAGATGTCTGTTTTCTGGAGAATTGTTTTGCTGATAGATATGGAAGTAATGGTTTCAATTAGATGTTGCAGCAGCACAAAGTGAGGAAGACCATAGCTTGACCTGGAATCGTCGAGAAGGAATAAAAGATTCCTTGCCAGCCTGAATCCACGAAGTTATGCAAGAAGCACATTTGTCAGCAGGAAGATGAAAGATTTCTCCCCAAGGGCCATCATGAAGAAAATCATGGAAAGAGTCTCAGTCAGCTTTAAGGTAGTTGTAAGAGGTATGATGATAGGGGGATTCAGATGATGAAGAAGAATGAGATAATAGTTTTAGAGAAATCAAACTGTGGTCATTAGCACCTAAGGGTAAATGTGAAGAAATTGAGCACTGACTAGGGTCAGAAACACGACATAAGTTGAGTAGAGAAGGTAAATGATTCGGGTTGTCTGGAAAGCAAATTGGAAAGTTGACTATTTGAGTTAGGGATTAAGAAAAGCAAAAGTTGTGGGCTTTAACGCCTGCAGAGTCACTGACACTAGACCAAGCTATTCAGTGTGATGAGCATTAAAGTCACCAACAACAACAATATTGGCTGATGGATAAAGAGAGAGGGCAAAGTCAATTTGATCAGAAATAACATCAAAGTCTTGAGATAAAGAAGAGCAATAATGAACAAAGAGAAGGGAGAGTGGTGAAGAGTAAGAAGGGAGAGTAAAGTGGTAAAGTAAAGTGGTGCTAAATGAAAGCACATAAAAGAATAGTCTGTGGATTCAAACCACAAAATGGGTGAATTCTTAAGAATGTAAATACCCAGGCCAAGCATGTGACTATTGGAGTCTTTACGAATTAAAGGAAATTAACCATCAACACTAAGATCATAAGATGAGACAGCTGAACTCTAATTAGTCTCTCAAAGAGCAAGTAGGTCTGCTGAACTTTGCAAGAGATAAGACTCAACAGAAGAAAAGTTACTTCGAAGACCACAAATATTAGTAAATGATACGTTAAGAAAACTTTTTGATGACAATGGTTTTTTGTGTTTAATAGTTTTTGGTACTTTATTCATTTTAAAATATGTTAAAGAACTTGATTCAAAGCAGTACTAGTACTCAGTACACTGTTTAATAGCCCAAGCAGTTGCCTCATTACTATTAATAAACCCTAAGTCGACTCCAAATGTGGCCTTGACAATGCACACAAAAAGTACAAACAGATACATAATCCATGCGCAAAATGGCACTATTGTTACTTTGATATTTTTGATATATTTCCATTCATTGACACATTCAGAAAGTTTGATGCAGTTTTTCATGCTTCCTTTGGAAATATTTTTCAAGACAACTATTGCATCCTCATTGAAGATTTCAAGGATTCCTACCTCAAGCTTCCAAATACCAGTGTCACTCCCAAAGCGCATGCTCTCTTTTTCCAGTGAGTGGTTGTGACAGTTTCACCACAACCACTCACTGAGCATTTATTCAGAGCAAGCAACAGAATCATTTCATCATGACTTCAACCATACTGGCCCAGTAGTTATCTAGACTCTCCTAACAATCTTCTAAAATGTTTGATTGATTACAAAAGCATTTACTCCTTTTAACTTCTTTGTAGAGAATACTGTGTTACATGATATGTAAGAAATTACCCTTAAACGTCAATTTTTAAGAACTATATTTAATGAGTTTTTTTTTTTTAAGTTTATTAAGCTAGAATCTGATTTTTTTAAGTTTCTTAAGAAATTTTTGTACGTAACGTAAGTACGCTGCTTATTTAGAGAATAAATATGTTAGAACAAGTTTTAAATGTTTTCAATAGAAAGTGTAACTCATTTGTTCAGAGCAATAAAATAGAAAATTTCAAATTAATTTTTATTTCATGAACTATGGTGAAAGATTTCAAAACCAACATCCTACATACTAGTAAAATCATATCCCCAGGTTTTTCTTGTGAAAAGAGGTTTGAATTAAAAGTCATTTTGTGACAGAGTGCTTAATTTCTAGTATTCATTTAAATGCAATTTTTTTCCTAATCCATTTCCAAAATATCCTCATTGATATTTTAAAGTACTGCTTACAGGAAATAACTTCTTAAAGTACTGCTTACAGGAAGTAATTTTAACAACTCAGAGTCAGGTTTAGGATCATCAGTATCACCTTGCTACTGGTAACATGTAACCTAGTACTATCTGCCCTGTCCTGCTGCCTCATAGAGTTTGCTTTTCTAAGCAAAGGCTAAAAGAAATAAAC